CACGTTTCCTTCCATTAACCGATGCACGGCCATCGATAACAAACGACAAAAGCACATTAGTCGTGCCGTTCTTAAACTTAAGAAGAAAATCTTCTCTCCATCTCGTTCGTTCTCGCCTACAAAACGGCGATAATATTTCCGTTATCTCGAGTGGAATAGCGACATTTCGAAGTACAAGATTCCAATAAAGTATTAAAAAAAGGGGAGGAGGCTCGAAAGACGAGAATGCTATCGATTCCTCTTGCCATATATATATATATATATTTCTAGGGAATTTGGAATTCTGGTCTCGTTTCACGTCCGCAGAAAGGTGATATCTAAGAAATTTCCGACATTTTCATCGACATTCTCGCGAGAGGAGTATAGCACCCCTCGTTAGTTAAGGGTGGAACGTCTGTGTACGTATTGGAATGCGTATAGGCGGCGGAGCAACAGGAGGCAGAAATGGATGACGGGTCAAAGAAGAAGAAGAATTTGGGTCGATGAAAAAAACCTTGCATCGCCTCGACGATTGAAATTACGTTGCTTTTAGATTGCGAGAATTAACCTGGCGAGGGTGTAATCGCCCTTGTTCTCCTTGAAATCCTTTTCTTCTTCTTCTTCTTCTTCTTTAGTTGCTATCTACTTAGTAGATACTCTGCCGTTCTTTTTCTCCTTCTTTCTTTTTTCTTTTAAAGGTAGATTGTTGGGTAGATTACGTGGGTGGATTACGTGGGTGTCTATGGCAAATTGGTTGGATCAACGAGATCTTCTTTATGTTTAACATTCCTGTGGTAACGGTGAAAAGTGCTGGTCTTTAATAATATTATAAAAATTGATCTAGAGAGAATTGCGCCTTTGAGAATATTCATTTGTGTAATTTTCCAAGATACACGTATTTATTTTTGCAAAAACGAGACGTCGTTAAATATATTATCAGCCCACTGATTGTTTATAAACACGTATTAGTCACTTTATCTAGCATCATATCTATCTTTTTTTGATATTGGCCATCGTGATAATGATTGTCGAGAATTGTCCAACAATTAATCATCTCTACACACAATCAAATATAAATAGAAAATAATTTTATTTGAAAACAATCAAGATAATTCGCTTGAATCTATAGATTTGGGATTTATATACATTCCAGGTTTTTGAAAATCACGTGGTTCATTTTCTCGTGGAGAAGAGAACGATGATCACTTGTCGTGATCATTTCCTCTGATGATCGTTTTTACGTTTCCATGGTTGTCTTCTTTTCCGTTGACACGTTATTAGCTCATACGTAACGTGATTCCGACAAAGAAGTAGCCGGCCATGGTATAATAGCCCGGCTCGGCTGGCGATTGTTGCTGTTTCCTCGAAGATGTATGGCCGACGATTAAATTTGACGGCCGGACTTTATTGCCTGCCCGCGAACAATTGGCACAGATCGTTGCTACAACGCGAACGATATCGGGTATAATGGTAACAGTTCTTTTATGCAATTATATTTATGGTGGCAATCCATTCTGCGAACATGTTAAGTGATTGTTACAACTTCTTTGAACGATGTCTAGCCTTTGTGATAAGAAAATTGTGTGTGTGAAGAGTAAGAAACTTATGCGTTGTCTGTTTTTCCTATTCATCGTAATGGAAACTTCTTTTGGCGACGATTTGTAATCTTCTGTAAATTTGATGAAAGAAAGAAATTATTAAGTCAAATAAAATTCTTTGTGTCAAGTTTACACTATTGTGAATTCTTGAATTATTATCATATTTCTATTATTGTTTAGAAAAGATTTCAAATTCGTAATAATTTTGTAAATAATCGTATTTTGTTATTATTCAAATATCGATTTAATTTATAATAAATTGATACAAAAACAAGTTTAAATTTTCGATTAATTTTATTTTCGAAAGAAAAAAAAAATATTTCGACAAGTTTTACGAATTCAATTTTTCTACTCACTGTAAAAAACGAAATAAACAATAATACAAAAATGATCGAATTGCAATAAATGTTATTTACACATTTTATTGAAAAATTAGTATTTCAAATTATATCAATTGATTTCGTCAAATTGATTTCGAATAATTAATATATGATATATTACTATTTCGAAAATAACCAATTCACATTCACTTGTAAAGTATTCGATATGCGTGAGAATATTTTTATGAAATATTAATATGAAAAAATTTATAAAAATTTGAAATTTGAAAAGGAAGTAACAAGAGACAGCGTGGAACATAATCACGAAATTGAAATTGAAATTGAGAAGCAAGATATCTTTCCAAGATACGTGATTGAGTTTATGGTAGAAAGCATGTCCCAATTATATGCTCAGGAGAGTAAGTTCCATTTCAGGAACAATCATTGAATATTACACGTTACACGTTAGTTTCCATCTCTGAAATTACATAGATATCCAATTTGAGGAATAAAATAAGAAGAGAAGAGTAATAAGACTGTGTGAAAAAATATAACAGAGATTTAAAGAAAGAAAAAGAATCCATAATTGAAGAGCTATTCCTATAACGTAGTTTTAAAGGTATCGAGGGACACAGAGCCATTTCGAGAGCTCCATCTGGAAATTCCAAGGTTCTCAGAGGATTCGAAGCTATCCAGAGGTTCCAGGGCTATCAAGGGATTCGAAGGTTCTACGTTTTCGTGTTTTTAAAGTTTTCCGAGATGTTCCTTAAGACGATTCTTCTATGATTCTTGAAAGTTTGATATAATTATATTGCAGTATCGTTTTGATTTTCGATGAGGATGATTATAAGGGTTGTAATAACTTCTCGTATATTCAACGAGATCATTGTTGAATATAATGTTTCATCTGAATCACCTGTTTCAATTGATTTAATTTCAAACCTTACATCAACTTTAATATCAAGTTTCATTATACCATACAGAATCTTAATTAATTCATAAAATTTAGAATCTTCGTGTAAATTAATATAAAGCACGATAACCAAACTCGTGATTCACACGTGGCTCTTCTAACTATTTAATATGGCTCTTAAAAAGTCATTAAGAAGGATACCTGAAATTAAATTTCAGTTAATATTATAACGTTAAATTAATGGAAAAATAAAATCAAATGATAATTAAATAAAACATTCGTATGTGATTTTAATACCTATATAAAATACTGGTAATAAAATATATAGCTTTTGAATATCTTTGATAATACAAAACATAAATTTTTATTTGGTTACCAAAGCATATTCCTAATTTTGGTGATCAAATAGATGGATTCCACGATTAGTGTTTCTGGTATCTGTTACACAACTAGAAGGGAATATCATGTTCAACAGACTTGGGATATCGGATGGTCATCTTCATCGTTACACCTAATATCGATTGCAATGTTATGGAGGTCTTATATTAGATCATGCAGTCTCGTGCTATTGAATACTAATTTCCATAATCCTTACTGTATTGATTAATTACCTCATTTCACGATTATCTGGATCATTTTCTGTCTTCTTAATTCGCACTGTAATAAAATAGAAAAAATAAAATATCATTTCTATTATATATAATAACAATTATCATAAAATGCAATAAACTTTTACAGCTACAGTCGTATAATTTGAAATTATTCTAGATTTTCATTCATTATTAAAATTAAATCATTATTCTTCATTAAATTCAGAAATCAAAAGTTCATTGCATCTTTTGAAATTTTCATTGCATGCATAAAAAGAGAATACCTTTATATTTAATTCATTGACGATCATTATATGCTTTCCATTAAATAGGATTTGTTACATGTTTAATGATCGGATTTGCCATCTGTTCGAACCTAATTTCGAAGAATAGGATGAAAATGGAAATAGAAATTCGACGATATATTTGATCGTGGATAGCTCGAATGGTCGGAAGCCACATTAGTGGAACGGAAGTGGCTGTGAAAAGGTTAGAGAATCTTACTTAACTCGAGCACTTGTCTCGTATCTTTAACCCACTACTTATACAGCTACCGTTAAAATGGTCATTAATTTTTAATCCCTTGGCCCATAGAAGAACGAGGAAGAGAAAATTTAGAGTTTCGTAAATAATAAAATATCTCATCGTTTATTCCTTAATTTTTTTATATCCTTGATTGTTTAATTTAAAACTAATTTAAAACTTGGAATTAAATTGTAATGTATTATTGAATAATTCATTTTCGAGAATTGTTATATTTATCTTTCGTTGAATTTTATTTTTCCTTTATTTTTCTATATTTTTTGTGTGGATATGTGTTGAATTTCCCTATAATATACACTCTAAATATACATAATTGTATAGCTGCAAATATTTAATGTATATTTAGTAAGTCTACTTATTATTAATTCCATATAATTCGTGTACATATTAAAATAAATACACGTTAAAGCGAAACTCGATTTTAGAGAATTCTGCGCATGAATTTCGCTCTGAATACATATATATTTTACGTTATATTTACATATTATTTGCTTTTAATAAGTATTAATTATTTTATATAAAAAAAAAGGAAAAAAATTATCCTTTTTAAAATACTTTTTTTGTATTCTCTTCTAAATTATGAAGATATATTTAAACGAAAGGCACTGTCAAGGATTTTCGGTATTTTTCAAGACTTTTTCTCTTTGTTTCCTTCATTCTTTTACGAGAATTTATTGCAGTATACTTTGCTTCCAAAAACTCTTCAGTAGACTCTCCCTCTTCAAGAGATTTCATCCTTTTTTTTTCTTTTTTTTAAAAAACTTTGAACGTTCATTAACTTCGCTTCAAGAATTTTTTTCATCCTCTTTCGAAGATAAGTATCGCGAGTAATCTTTCTTCAGCCTCGAGACTTCCTTGCTACATCTTTTCATTTCTCTTTAAATAAAAATACTTGAAATACTTTGCCCGATATTACGAAACCCCTTTCTAAACCCAGATAATTATGATCTTGACGAAGGTGAATATATTCACGCCCGATCTTGAAAAGCTTAAGCACGAGTAAGCCTGTTACTTGTTATCGTTTGAATAATAAACGATCCTTTGCATAATAAACTTCAACCCAGATTTTCACACGCTTCGATCGTATTACATTCTTCTTCGAGAAGTGTAAAAGTCCATAACGTCGAGGCGAGGCCGTTAAATTTACATAAAAATTCGCTGTCGGGGGAGGGAAGTCGAGGCGTCGACCAAGGAAAGATCGTGGAAAAGGTTTATTCTTGCAGGGTGTTCTAGTCTACCGACATATTACAAAGGATGTTGGATTACTTTTAATCCGAAACTGAAACCAAATGAGCGTTAGCTTCTTCGCAGCTCGAGACGAGAAATTGTGGTATCCTCAGTGGAAATGTAAATCTTTCCATTTCGAAACATTTGCAGATAAGTTTCGTGCCACGTATTTGGAATTTCTTTCTTTTTTCGTTCCTTCCTTCTTCGTTCATTTATACCAAGAGATTTTGGACTTTATTTATTCCTTTTCGCGTTATATATAAAATTCATCATAATTTCAAAAATAGAAAATTGATTTATCTTTGCTTGATCATCAATCTCCATAATTATCTTGCATTCGAGGTAAGTAGCAAAATAGATACTTTATATATAACCAGACAAGTGATATAATTAATTATGATCAAACAAGGTTAGTATAAGCTTTATTTATGATCAGACGAGTGGAAATAGTTGGAATAAATTAGATTAATGACTAGACAAGTAATATATGTGACCCATGGTCAAGAAGTATAAACCAGCTGAATAAATATAAATCATAACTAACAGAATAAATTAATTATAGGGAGAAATAATCGAATAGAATAATAATTCAGTTGTAGTCAAGTGATTAGAATAAACCAGCCATGGGAGGACAAATAATCTATTGTTAAACAAATAGAATGAGTTAGTTTTGGCTGACAGAATAACCATGGCCAGGCAAATAGAATAACTCACAATTAATCATGTAGAGTAGATAATTACGATCAAATAGAATAGATCAAATAGAATAAGTCAAGCAAATAGATTAAATCAAGTAAAGTCTATACTGAAGTGGAATAATACAATCGTTATATCCACAATCCATAATTGAAATAAAACGTATACATCGAAAGATGTATCCTATCGAAAATCACCATAACAGCATAAGAATTTAATTCCTCCAAATTCGTATTTATAAATGGTACTAGATCATCGTACGAGATTCTGATTTATGCAGTTGTGTTAGACTTCATGAATTTATATGGAATTCCGTTGTATTATCGCAGTCTCGGATACGTTACCGACTGTAAACGCGTGTGAAATTGCAGGTTGCGAATCACGTAGGTATAACGTTGGTGCATTCACCATCCTCTGGTGACGTGACAGGATTGTCTAAGGGGGGAAGTGTAATTGCGCTACGTGTCCTTACGTATGGCAATGCGATATCGACTTCCCATACCCACATATTTACGGAAATTTGCATAGAAAATGGGCTACCAGTTATTTCCATATCGGGTGATAAATTCTTCGATTCTTCTGTTCGATTTTTGACCAACGTATGCAATAATCGATTGGAAATTGGAAATCGGAAATTGGAACTGTAATATTTTTTTTATGAGTTGATAGATGAAATCAGATGTGTGATGGATGGGTAAATTAACGAACAACGAGGAGAAATTTTTGCTGAAAATTTTTTTGGAAAATTTTTTTTGACGTGCGAATTTGATAAATATCGAGAGATACGGATTGTTATGTTTAATAAATAATAAAAGAGAATCGAAAGGGAATACGAATTCGAGAAGAAATTAATTAGCAAAATACTCTTTTTAGATTAATTATTCGAAGGATAATTCGATGTTAATAGAATCGATAATACAATCTTCGTATAGGTAAACTGCATATTACTAATAGCCTGTCTTCGGCACACGTCAATACGTCAATCTTTTCCCTCAACAGGAAACTTGAAATTCCTCTTGTCATCCCTAAGGCTAATGAATATATCCTAATCTGATATCTTGCTCTTATTATAACCGAATTTTAATCAAAATTTAATCAAAAGAAACGAATAATAACCTACTACAATGAAAAAATGAGCATGCATCTATGATTAATCGAAAGGATTTCCTGTATCAAAAAAAAAATTAAAATTAAAATTATTATAAAGTTAAAAATTAATTTTCGCATTGTCACATTTCCTCAGAAAAAAGAAAAATTCCAATTCTTTTTATCATTTTTTTTTCACAAGGACTTGTCTCAAATCCGCTTACAGTAACTTCCCACCCATTCAAATTCTCCATTCTTCGCTCCCTTGTAATTTTTCCCACGTGTAGATCCCTCGCTCTCTCCCTCCCCTCCCCTCCTCTTAATAACTTAATTCCCCGTCGCTAATGGGCCGATGTATCCATAAATATAAATTTTTAATCGCGACCATCCCTTTCCCGCCGACACGGGGGTATCGCGTTAATGCAAGCTGGCGATAAGAGAGATGAAAATTGGGTGAACGCGGAAGAGCTCTTGCCGATAACGACATCGAGCGGGAGGCTCGTTTGATCCTCGGCTTTAGACATCGATCCCTCTTGGCGCGTCCCACGCAATCGCGTTAGTTTCACACCGCATGCTTTACAAGGTCTGTCTATCGTCTATCGATGAAATGAAGGAGGATCCCCGGATGTTCGACGACAGAATGTCTGCGCCTATCGATTTTCGTAAACGTTATCGGCCGTATGTGTGTATATATATCCTTCCGCCTCTGTCATCACGATCCGCACGTCGCTCTTTTTGTTTCGTACGTATGCCCTATTACCAATTGTCAATTGGAACGCTTTTGTTCAAAGCGGTATCCCGAAGCGGGCATATTTATTCGAACCGCAACGCAATATCGTTTTTATTGGCGATGATCGAGCATCCTAGTCGCCGAGTTTAAAGGCTGCGAATTAAATTTCAATCGCGCGTGTGTGCAGCATTCGAATTCGCCTCGTAATGGTACGTTGGAATTTTGGTATTTTTTTTTTTTTTTTTATTATGATTTAGATCGGTTTCCTTTCCTGTTTTGCGGCCTCGATAAGTGGAATAGGGATATTGCCGGATAGACAAGTTACGGGACATTTATAGGACGAGACAAGTGGTGTAGAATAATCATCATAGTTTGTCGGGTAGAACAGGCCAGTTATGGGCAGACAAGTAATGTAGGGCAATTATGATCAGCCGAGTAAGATAAGCCAGTCATAGTTAGACAAGTGGAACAAGAGTGCTGTGTGATCAATCAAGTAGAATAAGATAGTCGTTGCCAAACAAGTGTTACAGGAACGTGACTGTGGGTTTCTATGTAAATACATATTTTCCATGTTAGATATATTTCGCATGAGTGAAATTTTTTTAAGCTTAATTATTAAAAGTATATTAAGATTTGGAAAACTTTTTTCCAATTCATTATATAACATCGAAACGATTTTCAGTTAACGAATAAAAGACTGTTAAAAAATGCGAAATTTTGCTTGTTATTTTTTTACATTTAGTCTATCAGCAAATCGGATAAACCAATTTTCCTCATCATGTCTATCCAATTTTAAGTATAGCGATTAGATAAAATTAATATCGACTTTTTGAATTAATGCGATATTTGTTTGTCATATTAATTAAGATTTTAATAGATACCGAGCGCCAATATTTTCAATTGATCTCGCATATTCGATTTAATTAGGCATTAATTATTATTCGTATTCTCGATGGTCGCTCGTTCCGACAAATGATTAATTATAAAGGATTATACTGACGTTTATTAGTGCATTCATAATATGCGCTTAATTAATTTATTTTTGAAATTGAGGGAATAAATCGGTATAATTCGCGTGTTTATGATCGTAATCCGTGGCCAATAATTAATATCAAGTTAACAAAAGAGTTAGCAATATTGTCAAAGAACATTAGAATTTTTATATGAAAGCCATGTTATACCATACCGTAATTAAAAATTATGAATATATTATAAATAATAAATTACCTCAGACATGTTAAGGATGTATTCTTTGTACCATCTCGTAATTCGGATATTAAGTGACCCTTTTAAGGATTAAAGGTTAAAATTACATTTAGACTTTCTTATATATATATTCCGACACACACACATAAAATGATCCTTTCTTCTCTTTAACTAGACTTCTTTTCTTTTCCATAAACTTTTCACGA